CCCCAAGGTGATCAGTGTTGGCTTTAGTTTTGGATGGCTCCTTTTTTGGTCACTGTTTGATTCAAGGTGTCATCCCAGATCTCTGCATATCTTTATGTTTCTATCCTTCAAGTAGAAGCATTATCGAAAGGTTTTGGTTGGTTTGTTGTAATTGCTGGGTTGAGTTCCAAGGTTCCTCTCACCTCCTGCCCAGCCCACATCCTCCTTAACCCCCACCAAGGCCAGCTATTTAAGCTTCCACCCCAATAGATGGGGGATAAAAAAGGTATGAGCTCCCTGGGAGCTTGGATATTGTTTGAGGCAACTGGAAGCCACTGTGCTCAGAGTGTCCATCCTCCCTCCTCCCAGCACATGCTGCTTCCTGTCAATCATCCTGGAACACTGAGTGCTGGGCCAGACAATTTTGTCCACAGGATGTTTGTTTGAAGGCGCTGCCTTGCCAAGTCTCAAAGCTCAAGACTTCCGCTGACAATCCAAACACCAAAATGAGAAAAGGGGAAAAACCTTTGGGCAGTTCTTTTAATCCCTAATAAGGTCTATTTATATTCAAAAATAGCAACAGGTTATCTGAACTTGCAGAGGCTGAAGAGTCTAGGAAGCTTGATCTTTAAAATCCTGAGCTCCAGGGAAGTTGAAATACAGGTTTTTAAGAGTGGACATTAAAAGCATGTCCTCAAAGCACCTTTAGCTTATTCCACAGTGAGCTTTCATAAATGATCAACTCCTGTTTTTATGGCCACACCTGACTGCACTGTCCAGAGGGTAAATGCCTGGCTACTAAGCCACAAAGCAAAAGAATTTGCAAGACATATATGGATATAAATTCAAACTGCTCAACCCAAGCTGTAGGATAAATCTAAAAGCCTGAGGCCACTGTGTAAATTTCTGCTGTCCTTTCAGGGTTTGCGCACAATCTGAGAAACACTGGGGACTCTCACTAATGATTAACTTAAAGCAAGAAAGTTTGGAAAGTTACTTTAAAACATGTCATATTTTATTCAGGGAATAGGTAAAAGATTTTTCCTGGATGTAAATAATTAAAAGAATCCCAGCTGACTTTTGGAGACTCAGTTGTTGAGAGCCCTTGACATGTCTATTTTTACAGCCTCTATAATTACCAAACAGGAATGTTGAGCCTCTGTGTATTTATCAACTATTATTTATAATCTCTATGTCTCTGGGCAAATGATTTAATCTCTCTGAGGTTATTTTTGCCAGTGAAAATGCATCATTATCCAAACTCTATTGGACTGTAATAATGCTTAAGTGAGATCAAGTGTGAAATGTGCCTAGCATGTAAGAGGTGCTCAGTAAATGGTAACTTAGAAAACAGAAAGCCAGGGAGAATTTAAGGGGCATTCCTAGGACTGACTTTAAAGTGACGTTCAACTACCACTTTCACCTTCTCAACAAAGTATTAGGGACACATTAGCAGTAACCCTGATGCGTGAAAGCAAGTCACAAAAGCCTTCAGCAGGAATAGGTTTGAGATAAACATGATGTAGGCATGCCTTATTGAAAGCATTCTAATTTCAACAGTCATTGGTCAAAGAGATGACAAGTTCATGAGCAGAATCAGGAACAAAAAGCAGTACACCCCGATACACCCCTAAAACATAACACACCCATATAGGAATGCTACCAAGAAGCAGGACTTTCTCTGTCCTTGTGGAAGATCTCAAGGTACCTTGATGTGTGAGTTTAAGGTACCCCAAGGTTTCGAAACATCTGTTCAAGTTCTGGCCAGATTTTCATGCAGTATGCAAATGCCCTAATAGAAAAATTACTTCCCAGGTTATTATAAAGAGATGTGTGTTCTGAAATTTTTCCAAAGAAATTTCTGCTATACAGAATGTAGGTTTGGGGAAAGCGTATTAAACCAAGCCACTAAAAGTTCAGCATTAATGGACTACAGACAAGGGGAAAATATGTTATGTGGTTTTAATAGTTAGAAACATACTGATATTAATTTTATCATTTTATATCTGTTGAAATGGCAACGACGTAAAAAAAACTCCCAACTGCTAGAATATTGAAGAATTTGAGGATGAAATTCACAACACTCCACATATAGTGGTGGTAGCAACGTATAGTAGAGACTTTATAAACCAAAACAAAAGTATGCAGCAAGGTTATTAAAACAGATCCATAAATTTTGACCTAGTAATGCCAGTAATGGAATATCTATCCAAATGAAGTAATAAAGAATACAGTCAAAAATCCCCATTTGTAGTTATCACATCACACTATTTATAACAATATTTCCATTAAAAATAGAAATACCCTAAATGTCTTATAATAAGAAAACAGGCACACAGTTACATTATTATAAATTATGGAGCCATTAGAAACCCTGTTTTCAAAGATTATGTGGTGACAGTGAATAAAACAGGATATAAGACAATCTGGAAAACCAAATGGGTTATTAGACATTGTCTTCCAAGTACTTATCAAATTTACTTTAGTGAACATGGACTTATTTTATATTTAGAAAAAAGCAATAAACATTTACACCAACAAAAACTCTCAACATTCACAGACAGACTATCAAAACAACCTGTAGAAAGATCACTAACAGTATCTTCAAAAGCCAAACCAATCACACTATTCTTTGTATTGCAGTTACCCAGAAAGCCACAGAGATTTTGATATGAAGGAGAACTGGTTGCTTTCTTTTTATTTTTATTTTTTTTCTTTTCCTTTTCAGGTCCATATTGCTTTATCTGCTCATACTACAAAGTGTCCTAAAAGCCATATGGGAGATGTACTTCTTCACAGCTGCAAAGGAAACATTTGCAGAACAGAAAACACCAGAAATCACAATACATTCTTAGTCATAGTAGAATGGAACGCACATGAAATATTGAAAACATGGAGCAGAGATTTCATTTTTAAGTATTTTAATTGCCAGAACAGAGCGGTTTGACTCTGTTTCAGAGCTGGGTAGATGAGCAGCAGGGGGGGACGGGGGCGGGGCGAGGGAGGGGAAATGGAGGAAAAAGAACAACAGCCACTCAAAGTGAAAACAATCATCAGTTAACAAATGGCAAAGAGAAATTAAGTCTTTCTAGCTGAACTGTGTTTTGTTTCTTACATAAGTTTTGGTGCTGTAAAACGTGGCACGTTTTGTACTGTATGTTCTCTCAGAAAAGCCAAACAGAAACCAGTCATCATGGTTTCGAGAGAGCAAGGCCTCCCCTTTCTCATGTTTCAACTACGCAGTCTCCACTTGGGCTGGGGACCGTATCATATATCATAAATCACTCTCTGATAGATATTTGGCAGGCAGTCAGCACCCCAGGCTATGCAACAAACTACAGTATGGAAAATTTTTAAGGTGGAATCTTGATTTTGTAACTTAAGGACTTAATAGCATCTCAAAACATTTTACTACTTCCTGGTACACACACACAAAAAGCCAAGAAAGCAGAATTCTCCATATGGTTTTCGGTTTTATAGGATCTATACACAATAAGCCAAACAACTGTAAACCTGGAGGCGTTCTCTTGCTGTTGTTACTTCAACTCCGGTGAAAATGAAAACAAAATTAGAGAGTTTTATCTCAACCTAACCCCTGAACTTCTAAAATCTGCTTTTTAACTATCCATCCCCCTACAGTTAACTGTTCCACACCTTCTTGGAAACTAGAGGAGGCAGCAGGACTGGGGGTTGGGGACAGATTTTATTGTAAGATAATAACATGCTGTCAAAGGTACTGTCAGGAATTTCAACAGGAAGGCTTATATGTTGACAAGAGTCATAGAAACCCCAGTAGAGTCTTTCTCCTGATTCCAGGCCCAAATCCGAGTTTTTGAGAGCCCCTGAGTATGCACTCCCACCTTCTCAGATGTTGCAAACTCTTTTAGACTCACATGTTCTTCTTCAGGAGCCTCTTTCAACAAATCATGCTTTTCTTTTTGGAAACTGCAAACTGTGTTTAACCCCTAAGACACTAGGGTCTGTTGGAACACTGCAGCTCCCAGCAAAGCCACGGCTAAGAAGCCGGTGAGCCTTTCTGTGCACCGAGGGGTTAAGTCCATGGTATTTGGACGTGCCCGAATGTTCTCAGTGTTCTCGGGCTGAGCAACTCATGGAAGGGCTAAACAGAAATGGGGGAAATGTGGAGTGTGTGGTAAGGCATTGTGCTCTCAGCGAAACACAATGCATGGAAAAACAAAAGAAAGAAACTGAATAAATCCTTTTTGAAGTTTAAAACAAACGCTGCTTTTCAGTGGTTGTTTTGGTTGTTCACAAATTAGCCAAAGTTTGGGCACGCTAAATATAAAATTTGCAGTGTAGTTTATTTAAAGTTTTTCTGTCCAATCTCAATCAATTTGAGGAAGAAAATTAAAGCCAAATTTAGACAAAATGTATAAGTAGTTATATATGCATAGGCTAATTCAGAAATAACATATATCCTAAGTACATTATGCGTTTCCCTCCCCACTCCACCAACCCCAATAGTGTCACTGACCAATTCATTCCTGAGATTCTGCTAGTTCCCATCAATGAAAGTCTCAGGCTTTGTACTAATGAAACTCACAGGCTCACAGGCCCCCTCACAGCCACTTGTGACCCCACTTGCAGTTGGCCATCAAGGTCCAGACTGGACCTCTCAACTGCTTCCATAAGAAAAGAGACTTCTTCTTAAAGGAAGCAGTAGAGTATGGTCCTGCCTAAGCCCAGCCAGCCTAACAGTCCTTCAGTACCTTCATTTCTATCTCTCTTAAATCAGTGGTTCTCAGTCTTGGCTGTATATGAGAATTCCCTGGGAAGCTTTTAAAAATTGCAAAGCCCAGGCTACATCTCAGACAATTACATCAGAGTCTCTGTGGGTGGAACAGAGGCATCCGTACTTTCTGCAGCTCCCCAGCAATTCCAGGTGTCGCCATGTTGATAGCTACCCTCCTGGCTGGGATTCCTGTGTCCAGTCTTGTTCTCCTGTTGGTGGATGATTCTACTAAAACTGAGTGAGGTTACTCAGGTAGCATATGTGATCGTTTTTCTCCCTGTTTAAGAGTCTTCAAGGGTTCCTTCTGCCTACAGGAAAACGTTCAATACTTCCCATAACAGTCAAGGCTTCCCGGCCTCCATGTCCCTCCTCTCTTCCTGCCAGTCCCTGCTACCACACTCCCCAGTCCTGCCCAACAGAGCTACCTGAACCCCTACATGCACCATTCTCTCGTTCACATATCCTGGCCTTGGAACAGGCTGCTCCTTCCAGTTGGAAAATTTTCTTTCTCCATGCCTAGTACATTTCAAATCTAAATTCCCCTCATCCATTTTTGGATTCAAGTCAGGTGTTTCTCCTTGGAAAGTCTGGCCCACGAACACACCCAGGATGTCTGCCAGTCACCACCACTAGTATACCTCCCAAATTCTAGATTTACCTGGAGCACAGGTAGAGAAGATGCCCATGACCACTAGTACTCTTCCCAAATTCTGAGTTTACCTATAGTACAGGTAGAGAAACCGTCCATTTACCTGCTTTTACTCCCACTAATTGGTGACCACTTAGGAGCAGAGAAGATTCCTTGCCCACCAGTGTACCTTTGATGCCTGTTTTAGCACCCAGCGTGTGGTGGGAACACAGAATGAGCAAAAGCTGAGTGGTCCCAGCTAGCTCTAACCGTGGAGCCTCACTTTCTAATTCAATCAATTTTACTGGTTGTATTGTTTTCACACTGCTGATAAAGACATACCCAAGATTGGGAAATTTACAAAAGAAAGAGGTTTATTAGACTTACTGTTCCACATGGCTGGGGAGGCCTCGCAATCATGGTGGAAGGTAAAAGGCATGTCTCACATGGCAACAGACAAGACAAGAGAGCTTGTGTGGGGAAACTCCCTGTTTTAAAACCATCAGATCTCATGACACATATTCACTATCATAAGAATAGCATGGGAAAGACCTACCCCCATGATTTAATTACCTCCCCCAGGCTCCCTCCCACAATGCATGGGAATTATGGGAGTTACAATTCAAGATGAGATTTGGGTGGGGGCACAGCCAAACCATATCATGTTCCTGGCGAAGAACACTTCCCTGAACGTTTGAGTCATTTCAGTTAAATCTAGTCTATGTTTTCGAAGGTACATAAAAGTGTCAACATTGTGTAGCTCCAACGAATTGGACACTGAGAAGTAGGTGGGAGAAGGCAGAGTTAGATATGTTATTAGGAATCAAAGGGTGTTGCAAGCTACATCCTCAAAAGGGAAAGACTTTTTGCTGAATATATCAAGAATAAAATAATTCTAGTTGTTGACAAGACTTCCAAACTACTTTCTATTTGGTTAATTACCATTGAAAAAAGAAAATGCCGCCAGTAGCAATTGAGCATGGGAAGACATGTAAACCATCAAATCACACTGCGTTTGTGATATCCTTAGGTTCAGCAACACTGGTAGAAGACCACAGGTAAGTGCAATCTGCCTTAATTTTTTTTTTTTTTTTTTTTTTTTTAGGCAGAGTCTCTGTTGCCCAGGCTGGAGTGCAGTGGCGCTATCCCAGCTCACTGCAACCTCTACCTTCCAGGTTCAAGAGATTCTCCTGCCTCAGCCTCCCAAATAGCTGGGACTACAGGCACACAGTACCATGCCTGGCTAATCTTTTGTATTTTTAGTAGAGATGGGATCTCACCATGTTGCCCAGCCTGGTGTCAACCTCCTGAGCTCAGGCAATCCACCCAACTTGGCCTCTCAAAGTGCTGGAATTGTGGTGTCAGCCTCTGTGCCTAGCCTCTACCTTCAATTCTGAAAGGCTTGCTCAGGGCAGCCACACCACCTGCCATAGCAGCCAAGGAGAATGTTCCAAAGTGACTTACTAAAAGCATAAAGCTAAGTTGTTGAGAGACAGTTTTGAACATAAGAAAGAGAGGGAGAGGCAGAGAAAAAAAAAAAAAGCAAAAGTAGGGCCAAACACAGTGGCTCACACCTGTAATCTCAACACTTCGAGAAACCAAGGCAGAAGGATTGCTTGAGCCCAAGAATTTGAGGTCAGACTAGGCAACATAGTAAGACCCACATTGCTACAGTTTTTTTTTTTTTTTTTTTTTTAGAAATTAGCCAGGTATGGTAGTGGGCAACCTGTAGTCCTAGCTACTGGGGAGGTGGAGGTGCGAGGATCACTTGAGCCCAGGAAATAGAGGCTACAGTGAGCTCTGATTATGTGACAAAGTGAGACCCTCTCTCAAAGAAGGAAGGAAGGAAGGAAGGAAGGGAGGGAGGGAGGGAGGGAGGAAGGAAGGAAGGAAGGAGGGAAGGAAGGAAGGAAAATTTAAAGAAAACTAATGAGGAAAATATAAGAAAAGAAAGGAAAGGGAATCAATAGGTATAAATTGCCCTCAACCTCTAGTAAGTGAGGATCCTTATTACCACTTTACAGATAAGCAAAATAGGACACAAAACAGTTAACCTATCAGCACTTTGGTAGGCTGGGGCAGGAGGATGACTGGGGCCCAAGACTTCAAGACTAGCCTAAGGAACATACTGAGACCATGTCTCTACAAAAAATTTAAAAACTTAGCCAGGCATACTGGTGCAAACATATAGTCCCAGCTACTTGGAAGGCTGAGGTGGGAAGATCACTTGGGCCTGGGAATTTGAGGCTGTAGTGAGCTATCATCCCACCATTGCACTTCAACCTGGGCAACAGAGAGAGAAATACAAAAAATATCTTGATATTTTTTATCTTGATAAAAATATCCTGATGATATTTTAGATACAAAAAAATATTTTGTTTTGTTTTCTCAAAAACAACAACAAAACCAACAACAACAACAAAACCAACAACAACAACAAAAACACATCACTTGCAGAAGGTGTGTATCCTTTAAGTAACAGATCTAAAGAGGAAAGAAAGAGGAGTGGGATTCTGAAGACTGAAAATGTATAAGTATGAGTGGGAAATGACTGTATAAAGAGAAGAAAGAATGAGAAAGGCAGGCAAAATAATCCAATCATGCAATTCAAAAGGAAAGACTACAACACTGACATTTCTCAGACATTCAACTCTGAAGGCCCTGGTGCCCGGGGACAATACCAAGCTGGCCCTTCTCTGAGGAGAGAGCCTTTCTTAAACCTGAACCCAGAAGGTCATCTGCTGTGTGAACAGGCTGTATTATTACTCTGCGGAATTTCAGAAACAGCTTCAGAGAAATAATTTTCCATCAAGTCCTGACCGATCCTTAGGTAGAATACTGTGGAGGCAAAAAATGCACGAACAACCATAAGGCCAAAGAACCTGTACTTCCATGTCTGTCTGGATCTCAACCTAGACTTGGGTGGCCAGGCCAAGGTCTCCAAGCTCATCCAACTGTGAGAAAAGGTCTTTCTAACTGCCTCACCCCCACCCAAATAAAAACTAGCGCTGCATCCTCGTTCTCTGGAAATTACAGACCAACTGTAATGTGTTTTGTCATCAACCTTGCTTTGGGTTTTTTGGTGAATGTCTGTCCATTTTTAATGATAATGTGAGTTTAAGAAATCTCCTACCCTTTCCTCTTTTCTGAGCACAGAAACTCCTGTTGACACATAGGGGTCAGGGCTATAGAGGGAATCTGGCCAGCTGGCTAAGGGTGACAAACCCAGACTGGAGGTAAGCAGCCCACAGATTTCTCATCTTCTTATTTTGGGTATCAGCCATCATTTTTCAACAGGTTCACATAACCTCCCAGCCCGAACACCAGAGCTCCAAAACTCCAGCTCTTGGCTATGGGAATGTGACTAAAACAACAGAAACGAGTTATAACCAAGTGCCAAGGTATATCAAGCATTGTGGAAGTTAATAATAATATCGACCACAACAATGGTAACAAATTGTACATACCAGTGTTCAAAGGGGACTTTCACATATACTGTTTCATGTCATCATCATTAGCAATTCTGAGAAGTAGATGGGGCAAGTATTTTTCACTGTTGCCTGGATAAACAACCTGAGGTCTAGGCAGGTTATGAAATGAGCAGTAAGGGGAGGACTTAGAATTGAAACTTTAGGCCTGATCTTGGTCCTCTTTTCACCATATCACAGCTTTTGGTATATTGAGCTCTCTTATGAAATAAAATTTGTCTATCTACAATTCTCACTTGGTAGTATTATTTCTGATCTCTAGATTTAAACAGAAAAAAAGTTCCTATTTGTTTGTTCATGTGTTGCATTTCAAACAGAACTTGAACTGGTTAATATCTTATTTAAAAGGCATCTATTCTTCAAGCTAAGCATTGTCATTTCTTTCAAGCAGGAAGGTCCAAGGAGATGAAGAAACAGAGACGTGAAGGAAAGACTCCTAAGACACTCTTCTTCCAGGAGGACTCGGCAGGAACCCTCTCTGGCTGCCTGGGAAACAAATCCAACCAGGAGGATCTTAACTAAGTGTCTTGCTTTAAGTGTATATAGATTTTAATATCAAAAGAAATATGTATATATTTATTTAAGTACATTTGCTCTTGTATGGTTGCTGAAATGAAAATACCATCATGGGCCAGTCACAGTGGCTCACACCTGTAACCCCAGTACTTTGGGAGGCTGTGGTATGCACATCACTTGAGGTGAGGAGATTGAGACCAGTCTGGCCAACGTGGTGAAACTCCATCTTTACTAAAAATACCAAAATTCACTGGGCATGGTGGCAGGTGCCTGTAATTCCAACTACTTGGGAGGCTGAGGCAGAAAAATTGCTTGAACCCAGGAGGTGGAGGTTGCAGTGAGCCAAGATCATGCCACTGCACTCCAGCCTGGGCAACAGAGTGAGACTCCATTAAAAAAAAAAAAAAAAAAAAGAGCAAGAAAAAGAAAAGAAAAAAAAAAAACATCATGTACTAAAGATGTTTCCCAACTTATTAAAATGAACTGACCCTGATTATTTTAAAAATAATCAGGCTTGCTGATTATTTCCAAACCTCATCTGATCCTTACTCTTTTTCAACCTTAGAAGGAGGTGAGTAAATTATTCTTGTTTGTGGTGATGGTAGATTTTAAAACTATTATTATTATCATCATCATTAAATAAGTGGTGATCATATGTATTTGGCGAATTTTTAAGATTGCTTATAATTCTTGAAAGTGCCTATCTCCCAGGGATATATTATTTGTTACACCATGCAGGTATTGTCTACACAAACATATTCTCATTATAATTATTTCCATTTCAATCTGCTTAAGAATAGCATTTCCTTGTGGGAAAGAACTACCTGGGTTTCCCCCTCAAATTAGAGAAAAGTAAACAGGCAAGTTACAAGTATGTAGGCAAATGAATCATAGTAAGCCATAACTTCTTCATTACTTGGCTGTTTTGTGAACTCTCTGAGATTAGGGGCTGTGCTAATCCACAGGAAGGAGGTGTAGTGAAGCCACAAAGCCCTGGATTCCAATCTGTCTCTGTCACTTACTAGGTTTCATCTTGATTAAATCACATGATTTCCCCAGAACTCAATTTCCTCATCTGGGACATCAGCTTTGCAGAGGTATTGTAAAGATTGAGTAAAATAATGAATATTTAAAAGCTGACACAGAGGAAACAATAAATACAGTAATAGCTTCTTGTCCAATTATTCATATTAGCACACTCACAAAATTGAGCACCCAATTGTTTGTTTGTTCAATTGCTCTGAGTATAGGCATATCTTGGAGACTTTTCAGGTTTGGTTTCATACCACTGCAATGAAGCAAATATCACACAAATGTTTCAGTTTCCCAGTACATAGAAAAGTTATGTTTACACTATATTGTATATTAAGTATGCAATGACATTATGTCCAAATAAAAGTAATGTGCATAGCTTAATTTAAAACTACTTCATTGATAAATAATGTTAATGATCATATGAGCCTTCAGCAAGTTATAATCTTGCTAAGAGTGGAGGGTCTTACTTCTGTGTTGAAGGCTGCTGACTCATCAGTGTGGTGGTTGCTGAAGGCTGGGATGGCTGCATCAATTTCTTAAAATAAGACATTAATGAAGTTTGCTACATCAATTGACTCTTCTTTTCATGAAAAATTCTCTGTAGCATGCTACGTGTTTGAGAGCATTTTACCCACAATAGAACTTCTTTCAAAATTTGAGTCAATCTTCTCAAACCCTGCCACTACTTTATCAACTAAGTTTATGTAATATCCTAAATTCTGATTATAGAGTACTCATAGAGGATCCAAGATGGCTGAATAGGAACAGCTCTGGATTGCAGCTCCCAGCGAAAACATCGAGGGTGAGTAATCACTGCATTCCCAAATGAATTTTTACTGCCCACAGACCAGGAGATTCCCAGGTGGAAAAGCACCACAAGTCTCCAGCGTGGCTGTTTCTGCCAGAGCAGTGGGTCTCTGCACAAAAACTCACACAAATCCGGCCGCCATTTCAACTGGCGATTGAAATGCCTGGGAGACAGAGTCACCTGTTCAACTGAAAAAAAGGGAGCTGAAACAGGGAGCCAGGTGATCTGGCTTAGCTGGTCCCAACCCCACAAAGACCAGCAATCTGAAATGCTCTGGACTGAGAGTTTCACAGCAAGCACAGCTGGACCTGGGATGCTCCAGCTCTGTGGGGGGAAGGGTGCCCACCATTACTGAGGCAGTCTACCACTACTAAGGCAGTCCACCATTAACAAGGCAGTCTGCCATTACCAAGGCAATCCACCATTACCGCGGCAGTCCGCCATTACTGAGGCAGACCGCCATTACCAAGGCAGTTCTAACTATACCCCTATAAATAAAACTGCAAGGAAGTTCGCACAGTAGCTGGGCAGAGCCCACGGCAGCTCAGCCACACCTCTGCTGGCAGACTGTGAGTAGGCTACCTCCTTGCTGGGCAGGGCATCCCTAAAAAAAGGCAGCAGAATGACAGGAACTAATAAATAAAGCCCCACCTTCCCGGGACAGAGTACCTGGGGAAAAAAAGGTGGTTATGAGTTCCACTGCAGCAGACTTAAACGTACTTGCCCAGAAGCTCTAAACAGAACAATGGAGCTCACAGCTCAGCACCTGAGCTCCTATAAGGGTCAGACTGTCTCCTCAAGCAGCTCCCCGACCCCCATATAACCAAATAGATACCTCATAAAGGAGAGCTCAGGCTGACATGTGGTGGGTATCCTTCTGGGACAAAGATAACAGAAGAAGAAACTGGCAGCAACCCTTACTGTTCTGCAACCACTGCAGGTGATCCCCAGGCAAGAATGGTCTGGAATGGACCTCCAGCAGTCCTATAGCAGGGTGCCTGACTGTTAGAATGAAAACTAAGAAACAGAAAGAAATAATTTCTTCAGCAACAAAAAGGATGTCCACTCAGACACCCCATCTGAAAGTCACCAACCACAAAGACCACAGGTAAATAAATTCACAAAGATAGGAAGAAACCAGAGCAAAAAGGATGAAAATGCCCGAAACAAGGATGCCTCTCCTCCTCCAAGGGATCAAAACTCCTCACCAGCAAGGGAACAAAGCTGGATGGAGAATGAGTCTGATGAATTGACAGAAACAGGCTTCAGAAGGTGGGTAATAACAAAATTCTCTGAGCTACAAGATCATATTCTAACCCAGTGGAAAGAAACTAAGAATTCTGAAAAAAGGTTTGACAAAATGCCAATGAGAATAAACAGATTAAATAGGAATATAAATGAACTGATGGAGCTGAAAAACACAACACAAGAACTTCATGAAGCATACACAAATTTCAATAGCCAAATTGACCAAACAGAAGAAAGCATATCAGAGATTGAAGACCAAATCAATGAAATAAAACAAGAAGGCAAGATGAGAGAAAAAAGAGTAAAAAGAAATGAACAAAGCCTCTAAGAAACATGGGATTATGTGAAAAGACCTAATCTACATTTGATAGGTGTACTTGAATGTGACAGACAGAATGAATCCAAGCTGGAAAACACTCTTCAGAATATTATCCAGGAGAACTTCCCCAACCTAGCAAGGAAGGCCAACATTCATGTCCAGGAAATACAGAGAACATGACAAAGATATTCCTCAAGAGGAGCAACCCCAAGGCACATAATCGTCAGATTCACCAGGGTTGAAATGAAGGAAAAAATGCTAAGGGCAGCCAGAGAGAAAGGGCGGGTTACCCACAAAGGAAAGCCCATCAGACTCACAGTGGCTCTCTCAGCAGAAATCCTACAAGCCAGAAGAGAGTGGGGGCCAATATTCAACATCCTTAAAGAAAAGAACTTTCAACCTAGAATTTCATATCTAGCCAAACTAAGCTTCTAAGCAAAGGAAAAATAAAATCCTTTACGAACAAGCAATCGCTCAGAGATTTCATCACCACCAGGCCTGCTTTAAAAGAGTTCCTGAAAGAAGCACTAAACATAGAAAGGAACAACCAGTACCAACCACTCCAAAAACGTACCAAATGGTAAAGACCATCAACACAATGAAGAAACTGCATCAACCAATGGGCAAAACAACCAGCTAGCATCAAAATGGCAGTATCAAATTCACACATAACAATATTAACCTTAAATGTAAATGGGCTAAATGCCCTAATCAAAAGACACAGACTGGCAAATTGGATAAAAAGTCAAAAATCATCAGTGTGCTATATCCAGGAAACCCATCTCACATGCAAGGGTATACATAGGCTCAAAATAAAGGAAAGGAGGAAGATCTACCAAGCAAATGGAGAGCAAAAAAAGCAGGAGTTGCAATCCTATTCTCTGATAAAATAAACTTTAAACCAACAAAGATCAAAAGAGACAAAGAAGGGCATTACACAATGGCAAATGTAATGTAAAAGCAAGAAGAAGAGCTAACTATCCTAAATAGATATGCACCCAATACAGGAGCACCTAGATACATAAAGCAAGTTCTTAAAGACCTACAAATAGAGACTCCCAAACAATAATAGTGGGAGACTTTAACACTCCAGTGTCAATATTAGACAGATCAACGAGAAAGAAAATTAACAAGGATATCCAGAACTTGAACTCAGACCTGGACCAGGCAAACCTAGTAGACATTTACAGAACTCTTCACCCCAAATCCACAGAATATACATTCTTCTCAGCACCATATCACACCTATTCTAAAATTGATCACATAATTGGAAGTAAATCACTCCTCAGCAAATGCAAAACAATGGAAATCATAAAAAACAGTCTCTCAGACCACAGTGCAATCAAATTAGAACTCAGAATTCAGAAACTGACTCAGAACGGCACAACTTCATGGAAACTGAACAACTGGCTCCAAAATGTTGACTGGATAAACAATGAAATGAAGGCAGAAATAAAGATGTTCTTCAAAACCAATGAGAATGAAGACACAACATACCAGAATCTCTGGGACACATTTAAAGCAGTGTCTAGAGGAAAATTTATAGCAATAAATACCCACATGAGAAGCAAGGAAAGATCTAAAATTGACACCCTATCATCAAAATTGAAAGAGCTAGAGGAGAAAGATCAAAAAAATTCAAAAGCTAGCAGAAGACAAGAAATAACTAAGATCAGAGCACAACTGAAGGAGATAGAGACATAAAAAGCCCTTCAAAAAAATCAATAAATCCAGGAGCTGGTTTTTTGAAAAGATCAGCAAAATAGACCACTGGCCAGATTATTAAAAACGAAAAGAGAGAAGAATCAAACAGATGCAATAACAAACGATAAAGGTGATACCACCACAGGTTGCACAGAAATACAAACCACCATCAGAGATTACTACAAACAACTCTATTCACATAAACCAGTAAACCTGAAAGAAATGGATAAATTCCTGGACACTTACACTCTCCCAAGTCTAAACCAGGAAGAAATCAAAACCTGAATACACCAATAATAAGGGCTGAAGCTCAGGAAGCAATTAATAGCTTACCAACAAACAAAGCCCAGGTCAAGATGGATTCACAGCGGAAGTCTTCCAGACATACAAAGAGGAGCTGGTACTACTCCTTCTGAAACTTTTCCAAACAATACAAAAAGAGGGAATCCTCCTCAAATTATTTTATGATACCAATATCATCCTGGTACCAAAACCCAGCAGAAACTCAAAAAGAAAAGAAAACTTCAGGCCAATATCCATGATGAACATAGAGGCAAAAATCTTCAATAGAACACCAGCAAACCGGTTGCAACAGCACATCAAAAAGCTTATCCATCATGATCAAGTAGGCTTCATCCCCAGGATGCAAGGCTGGTTCAACATATACAAGTCTATAAACGTAATTACCCCATAAACAGAACCAAAGACAAAAACCACATGATTATCTCAATTGATGCAGAGAAGGCCTTTGACAAAATTCAACAGCCTTTAATGCTAAAAACCCTCAATAAACTAGGTATCGGTGGAATGTACATTAAAATAATAAAAGCTATTTACGACAAACTAACAGCCAATATCATACTGAATGGACAAAAACTGGAAGAATTCCCTTTGAAATCTGACACTAAACAAGGATGCCCTCTCTCACCACTCCTATTCAATATAGTATTGGAAGTTCTAGCCAGAGCAATCAGGCAAGAAAAATAAATAAAAGGTATTCAATTAGGAAAAAGGAAAGTCAAATTGTCTCTATTTGCAGATAACATGATTGTATATTTAGAACACCCCATCATGTCTCAGCCCAAAATCTCCTTAAACTGATAAGCAACTTCAGCAAAGTCTCAGGATACAAAATCAACGTGCAAAAATCACAAGCATTCCTATACACCAATAACAGATTTAAAGAGAGCCAATACAAGAATAAACTGCCAATCACAATTGTTACAAAGAGAATAAAATACCTAGGAATACAACTAACAAAGGATGTAAAGGACCTCTTCAAGGAGAACTACAAACCACTTCTCAAGGAAATAAGAGAGGACACAAACAGATGGAGAAACATTCCATCCTCATGGTTAGGAAGAATCAATATCATGAAAATGGTCATACTGCCCAAAGTAATTTATAGATTCAACGCTATTCCCATCAAGCTACCAATGGCCTTCTTCACAGAACTGGAAAAACAACCTTAAACTTCATATGGAGCCAAAAGAGAGCCTGCATAGCCAAGTCAATTCTAAGCAAAAAGAACAAAGCTGAAGGCATCATGCTACCTGACTTCAAACTATCCTACAAGGCTACAGTAATCAGAACAGCATGGTACTGGTACCAAAAAGACATATAGACCAATGGAACAGAACAGAGGCCTCGGAGGCAACACAACACATCTACAACCATCTGATGTTTGACAAACCTCACAAAAACAAGCAATGGGGAAAGAATTCCCTGTTTGATAAATGGTATTGGGAAAACTGGCTAGTCATGTGCAGAAAACAGAAACTGGACCCCTTCCTGACACCTTACACTAAAATTAACTCCAGATGGATTAAAGACTTAAACATAAGATCTAACACCATAAAAACCTTGGAAGAAAACCTAGGCAAAACCATTCAGGACATAGGCATAGGGAAGGACTTCATGACTAAAACACGAAAAGCATTGGCAACAAAAGCCAAAATAGACAAATGGGATCTAATTAAACTCCAGAGCTTCTGCACAGCAAAAGAAACAACAATTAGAGTGAACTGGCAACCAACAGAATGGGAAAAAATTTTTGCAATCTACCCATCTGACAAAGGACTTATATCCAAAATCTAGAAAGAACTAAAACAGATTTACAAGAAAAAAACAAACAACCCTCTTCAAAATTGGGCAAAGGATATGAACAGACACTTTTCAAAAGAAGACATATATGAGGCCAACAAACATATATTAAAAAAGTTCATCATCACTGGTCATTAGAGAAATGCAAATCAAAACTACAATGAGATATCATCTCATGCCAGTTAGAATGGCGATCATTAAAAAAAATCTGGAGACAATAGATGCTGGAGAGGATGTGGAGAAATAGGAACACTTTTACACTGTTGGTGGGAGTGTAAATTACTTCAACCATTGTGGAAGACAGTGTGGCGATTCCTCAAGGACCTAGAAATAGAAATTCCATTTGATCCAGCAATCCCATCACTGGGTATATATCCAAAGGATTATAAATCATTCTATTATAAGGACACACGCACATGTATGTTCATTGCAGCACTGTTTACAATAGCCAAGACTTGGAACCAACCCAAATGCCCATGGATGATAGACTGGACAGGGAAAGTGTAGCACATATACACCATGGAATACTATGTGGCCATAAAAAACAATGGGTTTGTTTCCTTTGCAGGAACATGGATGAATCTGGAAACCATCATTCTCAGCAAACTGACACAAGAAGAGAAAATCAAACACTGCATGTTCTCACTCATAGGCAGGTGTTGAACAATGAGAACACATGGACGCAGGGAGGGGAGCATCACACATTGGGGTCTATTGGGGTGGACTATCGGAGGCACAGTGAGGGGTAGGGAGTTGGGGAGGGATAACATGGGGAGAAATGCCAGATATAGGTGATGGGGATGGAGGCAGCAAACCACATTGCCATGTATGTACCTATGCAATAATCCTGCGTGTTCTTTACATGTACCCCAGAACCTAAAATGCAATAAAGTATATATATGTTTTTTAAAAATCCTAAATTTTTTGCTGTCCTTTCAACAGTGTTCACAGCACCTTCATGAGGAGATTTCATCTCAAGAAACCACTTTTTTTGTTTAGCCATAAGCAACTCCTTATCTGTTAAGATTTTATCATGAGGTTATGTAAATTCAGTAACATCTTCAGGCTACACTTCTAATTCTGATTATCTTGCTCTTTCCACCACATCTGCAGTTACTTCCTTTACTAAAGTTGTGAACTCCTCAAAATCATCCATAAAGATTGGCATAAACTTCTTCCAAACTCCTGTTAGTGTTGATATTCGACCTCTTCCCATGAATCACCATTCTTCTTAATGGCATCCAGAATGGAAGTCCCTCCAGAAGGTTATTCACTTAGTTTACCCAGATCCATTAGAGGAGCCACTATCCATGACAGCTGTAGCCTTGAAAATCATATTTCTTAAATTATAAGGCTTGAAATTTGAAATCGTTCCTTGCCCCATTGGCTGCAGAACGAATGTTGTGTTCGCAGGCATGAAACCATTAATCTCTTCGTACATCTCCATCAGAGTTCTGGCTGACTGCGGTGTGTTGTCAGTGAGCAGTCATATCTTAAAGGGAATATTTTCTTTAGGCAGTAGATCACAACAGTGGGCTTAAACTATGCAGTAAACCATCCTGTAAACAGATGTGCTGTCATCTAAGCTTTGTAGTTCCATTTATAGAGCACAGGCAGAGTAGATTTAGCAGAATAATTAAGGGCCTTAGGATTTTGGGGAGAGTAAATGAGCACTGGCTTCAACTTAATGTCACCAGTTGCATTGAGCCCCTAAAAGGAAAGTTAGCCTGTCCCTTGAAGGTAAGCATTGACTTCTCCTCTCTAGTTATGAAAGTCTATTGCATCTTCTTGCAAGAGAAGGCTGCTCCATTTACATTTGAAAATCTGTTGTTTAGTGTAGCCACCTTTATTGGTGATCTTAGCTAGGTCTTCCAGACAACTTGCTGCAGTTTCTACATTAGCACTTGCTGTTTCACTTTGTACTTTCATGTTATGGAGGTGGCTTTTCCTTAAACCTCATGCACCAACCTCTGTTAGCTTCAAACTTTCCCTCTGCGACTTCCTCACTTCTCTTGACCTTCACAGAGGTGAGGAGAGTTAGGGCCTTGCTCTGGATTAGGCTTTGGTTTAAGGGAATGTTGTGGCTGGTTTGATCTTCTACCCAGACCACTACAATTCTCCCCACATCAGCAATCAAACTGTTTTGCTTTCTTATTGTCCATGTGTTCAGTAGCGTTTTTAATTTCCTTCAAGAATTTTTCCTTAGCATTAACCATTTAGCCAACTTTTTGGCACAAAAGCCCTAGCTTCTGCATGTCTCAGCTTTCAACATGTCTTCCTCACTAAGCTTGAACATTTTTCGCTTTTGATTTAAAGTGTGAGAGATGTGAATCTCCCTTTCATCTGAACACTTTGGGACCATTGTTGGGCTATTAATTGGCCTAATTTCAATATTTTATGTCATAGTAAATATGAAAACCCAGGGAAAGCAAGAAAGATGGAGACCTGCCAGTCAGTGGAGCAGTCAGAACAGACACATTTATCAATTAAATTCACCATCTTATATGGGTGTGGTTTGTGGTACCCCAAAAGAATTACAGTAGTAACATCACAGATCACCATAACAGATATAATAATGATAATAAATTTGAAATACTGCAAGGCTCATCCAGATATGACATGGAGACATGAAGTGAGCTCATACTGCTGGCCAAATGGCACCAGTAGACTTGCTTGACACAGGGTTACCACAAACTTCAATTTGTAAAAAATGCAGTATCTGTAAAGTATAACAAAGTGAACTGCAATAAAACAAGGTGGCTGTATATCAAATCTCTGCTTTGAATTTTTATCTCTTAGTTTTTAAGGAGAAAAATTTGACAAAAATTAAGGCCACATGACTAGATAGCATAAGAGAATGTAGGGTGGAGAATTAGGGGTGTGAGCAGCTGGGGCCTAGGTTTGCCCACCTTCAAATGCATATTGCAGTTCTAGATATAGGGAGTGGTTTGTTATAATTGTAGAGTATTTTTATGTTTTATGTTTTGTCTTATAAAATGGAAGTTATAAAGCACAAAGTAAAATGAATGACATCAACCAACCTTACGACTCAGAGTTTTTGTTTTGTTTTTCAGTGAAAAAAATAGCTCCTGTTGAGAACCTACTAGCTGCACCATCTGTTTCTGACTTCAAGATCCTTCTCTTCTGCTGTCCATCTTTTGTGAGTGGTCCCATGAAGGCTTTCATCTCCTCCAGGGTATGGAAGCCGCCATGGCCAACTTGGAGGTGGTGCTAGTGTTCTCCAGAGCCCACTGTTTGCTCTGTACCAGCAAAGACTTGCAGAGGATGAGCACTCACTTCTTGGTTCCCACCACACAGCCTTTCAGCATGACAGAGTCATTGGTCACTTCACTATGGTAGACAAAGTCACCCAGAGGACTGAGGCTCTTGTCAGACAGATCATAATCAGTGGATGCATTGTTCTTAATCAGTTTGCCGTCCTTAATAAGGAAGCTCTGGATGATCTTCTAGGTATTTTTGTTGATCTCCATACAGTGGTAGTAGCCTTTCTGCCCAGGGCAAACCACAGAGAAGACAACATGGGCAGGACGTCATGCCCCAGCACAGGCAACCTTGTGCAGCCCTCAGTGGGTCTCGCAGGGCAGCTTGCTGGTGTGCCAATGACTGGTGATCCCTTTGCAGGCTTTGCCCTTGGTCACCCCAGTGACATTGATAATCACGGACTGCCCAAACACTTGGTTCACAGGTACTTGCTGCTCTAGACTCTTCTGGGGCTAGTCTCATTTCTCAGTCACAGTGCTTCCATTCATCTGCATTTCCATCTGGTGCCTTATGGAGTGGAGGAAGCAGGCACATCTGGGTGCGAGCTACGATGCAAATGACTTGGCAGTACTTTTTCATGCTGAAGTTCCTCGCCAGCTGCTTTTCACCATCCTCATCCTACCATTTCTTGCAGTACTTGGTAAAGGCCTTCTCCTTAGATTTATGCCAGTTCTTATAGAAGTACCTCTTGCACTAATCATGGATGTGCACAGCAAAGGTGGTCTTGAAGGTGTGGAGGCCTCAAGGAGTTTCCACATAGCCCACAGTGCCTACCACCACCATGGCTGGCATCTTCACAATGGCTCAGCTTCTACTTACCTCTTGCTCACCTTGGATCCTGGCCTACAGACTTCCTACACAATGTAGGTCATGCCAGCCTTATAAACCAGGAACGCTATAAGGTGGACTGACTTGGAAGGGTAATCCTTAGAGAAACTCTTCACCTTCCCGTGATGTTTGCTGGTGTGCTACCCAGGCAGGAAGCCCAGGGGCCCATGTCTGGGAGCAGAGAATTTCCTGTGAGATGTGTTGTCATCAAATCCCGCCAGTACAGCAGGAGTTCTTAATAGCTTGAGTGTTTTCTCCTTTCCCAGAGATGCGTTATATAATTAGCACCAAATATTTAAAACAAAATGCTTCAATTATTTTTGTTACAGTGTATTTAAAGTAGTGAAAAATTAGAAACAATATAAATACCCAATAATACAAGTATGACTATGTAAACTGTAATCCCTCATATAATGAAATAGCATTGGACCACTTTGAGGCAAACCTTTATTTACTGATATGTTCATAACAGTGAGTAAAAAATTCAGGATACAAATATATACACAGATGAAATGGACACTTTTTTCAATATATTTATAGGTATAAACTTGAATAAAATTTCTGGTAGGTTATATAGTAAATTATTTTCTCTGGGTGGTAGCTTTAGGATGATGAAACTTATTTCCCTTTTACTTCTTAGTAAAATATATTGTACTTGGTCAGGAATATTCATTACTTTTGTGATTAAAAAAGGGGAGGATGAGGAGCACAATTATTTTTTAAGTAATTCAGTATTTATCTACAGCCTCTTCCTCCTGATGGCCACTGCTTTGAAATAAGCCAGTCTCAATTAAATAATCTGAAGGACTATAATTTGGTCAGCAGCATTTCATTCTCTATCCTAAATATATCTTGATGGAGTTTTATTAGATAAAATATTTATTAGATATTGTGAGAGGAAAAATAAACAGTTCCTATCAAACATGAAGCCTAATCAAAATTTTGAATTTTTAATTATAGTTATTTGTAGGGAATCTGCTTTAAAAAAAACAATTTGCAAAAGGTTGTAGTTTCTAATAATCTATATAAGAAGGGAAGGGAAGAATTAGGAGGGGGTGGGACTAAGCAGCTATAGATGGATACTGAATAAAGAGAAGAACGCCTAATCATTTTCATAGTTCTATTACCAAGAAATTGATACGGGCCAGGCATGGTGGCTCATGCCTATACTCTCAGCACTTTGGGAGACTGAGGCAGAAGGATCACTTGAGACCATGAGTCTAAGACCAGTCTGGGCAAACATACTGAGATCCTGTCTCTCTAAAATGTGTTTAAAATTAGCCAAGCATAGTAGTCCATGACTGTAGTCCTAGCTACTCAAGAGGCTGAGACAGGAGGATCACTTGAGCCCAGGAGGTCAAGACTACAGTGAACTATGTTTGCACCACTGCACTCAAGTCTGAACAGCAGAGCAAGACTCTATCTCAAACAAAAAAAAAGAATAAAGAAAAGAAAATTGATAACAAGTGGGACAGTTAAACATCACTAGTAATGCCTTCTCTCTCTGCTAGAATCCCTGATATCTTCTCCCTGGTGAGTTGAAGGACTAGAGCCCAGTTTAAGCAAGTAGTAGATGGAGATTGTCTTTGGCTTTAGATTTGGAGAAAGGGAAATGCGTGTTTGCCAGCAGCTAATAATGGTCTAGAAAACAAGTTAAGTCCCCAAATGTTCATCTAAGGGGATCTGATGACCTCCAGGGAGAAGGGCTTAACAAGACTGAACCTTTTACAGAGGGTCTGGTTCCAAGCCCATGTACACGGAAGGAGCTGGCAAAACAGCTGATCATGGCAGAGTAGGATTCCAAGGAGTCCAAAAGCACCCCACTGAGAAAGCAAGAGAACAGTGCACACTCCTTGGTTGGAATCTTGATTCTACCACTTAAATAGGCGACCTACAACAGTATGGCACAACACTGGCCAGCATTCTGGTGCCAGTCTAAAAATATTTTATTACTGCACCACAACAAATACAGAAAGTAAAAGCAGGTATTTAGAATGAGTTTGACTTTGCTGCTGCATCCAAGACCGTGACCAGGCAGTAAATCTCCTTGAATAGTGCAGGAACTAGCAGGGTTGTTGAAATTGCATGATGAATTACATGTGGTATGACATGTGACAACACCTGGCATTTTGTTAGTTAACTGAATGCCAAAAGCATATAAAAATTTGTGGAACAAAGCACGTCGTTACTTTTATAATTTGTTATTTTGTAACTAATTTTTAATCAAGCTTATTTTTAAATTTATGGTCAATCATTATTAGCTAAATTAGGGAAGTAATATTTACATTTTTAATCTTCATATATTAAAGTTAAAGTGATCTTCAGTGACATTTTGGGAGAAGGAGAGTCAAAAACAATCCATTTTTTTTCTGAAAACAGTAGTGGTAGTAAACTAAATAATGATAATAAAACTGATACTGAGAAAATGAAGACTAAAGGCTTAGTGCTTGTTTTACTCTAACGTATGATTCCTATATTGAGTCATTTTGTGGGACATAATTGATGGAGAAGTGGTAAGCTCATAGTAAGGTATTTACAGGAGATGTACTGGCTAATAAAGCAATGAAACCAGCAAACCTTAAGCAGCATTTATATATGAAAAATGAGAACATTCAAAACCAAGCAATTATGTTTAAATATAGCCACCTAAAATGCAATAATCGCTATCAAAATAAAAATCTATCTCTAAAATTAGAGTTAGCTCAGGCAACATAATGGGCATAGATATCTGACTTTCAAAGGACAGATCATCCCTATATTGTCTAATTGTTTCCAAAGCATAGAAGATGGAAAACTTTCTCCAAATTGTGTCTAAAGCATAGAAAAACATGGGAAAAAATCTGATATAATCATCTTTATTTTAAAA